TCAATAGGCATTTATGTCAAACCAATATAGATGCAACTAATTTTGTAAAAATATGGATAATAGGGCAAATTTTTGCACTGCAGAAGGAAAATTCCTGAAGTTTCCCATTTGTACCAGACTAGGTACCAAGCAATGTACCAAGGAAAACAGACACATGGAACAGAAGCAGAGACAAGAAACCAATAGATACTTAGTAGCATAGTAAATCATTAGTGTCCACAATTGGTTTTGGCCTTGCAGAAACCTTTCAAACACGTATTTACAACTACCTGCAACCTTTCTTTCCCATAAAATACATGAATCTATGTGGATACCCTAATCCTTTTTCCTTCGCACTTTACTGCCTCTTTTCACCACTTATCAAATACCTGAGGACTAGAACGTTGCATGCTGCCCAGAGCAGTAGCTGTACTAACCTTTATCTTGAGATCTGAAACAGAGGTTCAACAACCCCCTGACGCACATACATAAAAATCTTTTACATGAGACACAAGAGGTTTGTGTGGTACTAAGGTTCTCCAACCTCTTCTAGAAACCAGAAGTTCTCTATGTAAGACTTTGGTTTGTTTTGTTTTTAAAAGCCAGGGAAGGGGAAACAAGGGAAAGGCAAAGGACAGCCTGGTCCTGAAGGGTCACTATCTGCCAGAAGTTCATTCCATGTAGACTGCAACTCCCCACGCTCAGGAGTCTTCCCCAAGAAATTGCTTCCCCAGTGGCTTGTGGGCTGCCCCGGCTTCCCTCTGGACAGCCTGAGGGTCCCTGGAGCCAGACAGACAGAGGGCCAGACCCAGAGGATGAGTGCAGCTTCCCCCCAGATCCAGAGGTTCACTCTGCCCTATGTAGATGCTTCCTACATGCTTGTGAGGGTGAGGATATGGGCTGTTCATACCACAGAAGATAAACTTCTGTAAGACAGAACTCAAAATTATTGAAAACATACAAATGGCAGTCAGAGATTGTGTAAAATTCTAAATAAAAACACAGTATACTGTTAATTCTGAGAGTCACAGAATTGTTTAGGTTGGGAAAGACCTGTAAGGCCATCAAGTCCAACCACTAACCTAACTCTACCAAGTCCACTGCTAAACCATGCCCCTAAGCACCATACCTACATGACTTTTAAACACCTCCAGGGATGGTGATTCAACCTCTTCCCTGGGCAGGCCATTCTAGTGCTTGACAACCCTTTCAGTGAAGAAATTTTTCCTAACAGCCAACCTACACCTCCCCTGGTTCAATTTGAGGCCATTTCCTCTTGTCCTATCACTTGTTACTTATGGGAAGAGATCAGCACCCACCTCTCTGCAAATTCCCCTCAGGTAGTTGAGTGATAAGGTCTCCCCTGAGCCTCCTTTTGTTCAGACTGAATCGCCGCAGTTCCCTCAGCTGCTCCTCATAAGACTTGTGCATTTCACCAGCTTGGTTGCCCTTCTCTGGACCCACTACAGCACCTTGGTGTCTTTCTTGTACTGAAGTGCCCAACACTGAACACAGTACATGAGACATGGCCTCACCAGTGCTGAGTACAGGGGGACAATCACCTCCCTAGTCCTGCTGGCCACACCGTTTCTGATACAGGCCAGGATGCCATTGGCCTTCTTGGCCACCTGGACACACTGCTGGCTCATATTTAACCAACTGTAAATCCGTACCCCCAGGTCCCTTTCTGCCGAGCAGCTTTCCAGCCACTCTTCCCCAAGCCTGTAGCTTTGCCTGGGGTGGTTGTGGCCCAAGTGCAGGACCTGGCACATGGCCTTGTTGAAGCTCATACCTTTGACCACATCCTTACAGGCTCACACAGAGAGCGGTGACAGACAGATGTTCTAGGTGCGACGAGACCTCTAGCACTCTCACACAGTGACACAGCGCAGAGAAATACAGGCCTGGGACAACTGCAGAGACCTTGAGACAGGGAGATAAAGGAGTGCAGGCAGGGGTGATAAGATGTTGTGTAAGTGTTAGGTTGACACAATACTAATAACACAAAAGCGTGGTGCAAAATTGTGCAAAGCTGCATGAGCAGAGGCAGGAGGTGAAATCGACCCTTCCCCAGCCTACGCATGATAACCAGCTCAGCCTGTCCTTAGCCTGAAATACTCTCCTTATCGTCGGTGCCTCTGGATCTGAGTAAAGTAAATGCTGGGAGCTAGCAGGAGCTGTTGCCACAGTCTCTGCAACACAATGTAATGCCTGGCGCAGAGCCAGGCTTAGTGACTTCCCAGTTTCTATTTCCTCACTGGCAGTTGTTTCTTCTGCAGATTCAGACACATGCCGAAGTTTCACTTTCTGTTTCTAGGTAAGTTGCTCACAGATCACATGACAGCTGAAGCACATAAAAGAGAAGTCGTAACAGCAGCAGCATTCCTTTGCCTTCGAAGCTACCCTTAGGACAAGTGAGCAAAGAAGGAAAATCATGAGGTAAGTGAGCAACTCAATCTCCAAAAGATACTTTTTTTGCTATGACATGGGAAAATAGTTTACATAAATGTAAGCAGTGAGGGACTTCAGGCATCTAAACAGCAGAAAATATTTTACAGAATATTTACTGGAAGATTCAAAGTAAAATAAGGATGCTGTTGAACACTGTAGTGTTACTGCCTGTCTGCCAAGCGTGTGTCTCTGTGAGCAGAACCGACAGTCGGCAGAACTGTGGGGGTGCAGTTCAGGGATGAGATCCAGGCTCCAGCTGTAGCTGGTGCCCAATATGTGACTGGAACTGATGCATTTAAGAATTTACTTTCTGGTCTCTGCTATTACAAGGACCAGCAAAGAGAGCAGTGCAGGTTCTGGGATGCAGTTTGGAGCATAAGAAGGGGAGTAACGTCTTCTGAAAACTGTGATTTGTGCACAGAGGCACACTCACACTCAACTAGGGCAAAGCCAAGATGTTTATGACAGCTTTGGAAATTGCATATACTGGTTCTCCGTTGAATTAAACTAAACTATATATAATTTTCATGTTTGGTTTTGTGACATTCATGAATATTAATTTTCCACAAATTCCTTTTCATGAAATACTCTCCACTGTTGTTTTCAGCTATGATGTTTTCATGGTCCTCAGATGAGGCAATAAAAAACAAAACGTTTTATCTTGAGTTAAATGGGAATGCTTAAATGTATTAAGCTATTCCTGCAAGACGTAGCTGATTTAGGAGCCAGTATCTGTTCTTTTGTGGTGTTCCCCTGTAGCCAAAGGTTTCTAACAAGACAGTGATAGTAACAGGAACCAGCTCTTAGTTTCTCTTCACCCTAGAAAAACTCTGGTTACCTCACATGCAGTCTTCTGATTAGAAACTGTTGTTAATACCAAGCAAAAACATTAGTTAGGCAGAGGAGATTATTTTAGAAAGGCAGAAAAGTCTGTAAGACAGACTTATGCATTAGTAACATTTTTAAATACCGTTTTTTGTCCCATTTTCCTCCAGTACCTCTATGTCAGATGGTTTGGCTGGAAACTTGTATTCAGTGTCACTTTCCCCAGTGTTCTTTACACTGTCTGAGGACCTGTAAGAGTTGCTTCCCAATTCCCCCCTGATTTGCCTCTTCATAATGTGCATGTCTTTCCATTCATTTTCTTTTTTTTTTTTACCCCAGAGGCATCTTCTCTTGTATATGATTTTGCAGTTGAGCAGCAGCACACGTACCATGCAGGCTGTTAGATCTGCTAAGTTTTACAGGAGGGAGAGCAGGGAAGACTTTCTAAGAAGGAGAGATTTGACTGAGATGCCTTGGTTATAAAATCACACGTAATTCCTGCTTTAAGGGAGAGCACAATGTGAACTAAAGCCTTATTTCCTCTGCATTGTAAAGGTTAGTTCTGGATTGGTTGTCTTCACACCCACACAGGGGCACAGGCAGGCAACGGCAGGAGGAGGAACCTAAACAGCACCTTGCCCTGGCTTCTCCCAAGAGCCATCGTCCCATCTCCATGCACACAGAGGCACAATGCCCCAGTCAGGGACACGAGCCCACACCCAGCCCTCCCTCCCAGGGCTGCCCCAGGGGATGGGGGGACACCCAGTGCTGGGGGTCCACAGGAGTGCCTTACAGTCTGAACTAACTAGCAGTATGGGACACGTTACACGATGCAGGAAAAAGCCCTTGGGGATTACATAAGACTTATTATGGAATGTTTAGGGAGGGGACCAAGGGCAGGAAAATGAGATCTGAGAAATGGAAAGTGATAATAGATGTTGAAAAATAGAGAGGGAGAAAGAGGTGTTAAGGACCAATTCTATGTAAACAGGGTCTGGTCAGTATGTTAGTGTGTCTGCCTGTTAGCAGTGAGGCGCCTGGGTAGAGACAAGATCCCTGACCATCTATCTGATGTCCAAAGCCAGCTTCTAGAGACCCACAGTGGGAGTGAGTGAGTGAGTGTGTGCTCTGAACCAGCAAGGGGAGTGGGGTTGCACCCTCAGGAGGCTCGGCAGCCAAGTGCCAGCAGCTGGAGAGACTGGTGGGATCTGAGAGCCAGCAACTGGATACGTCAGTATCATCAAAACACAGAAATGGTGCTGATCTAACAAATAAGCATTTTCAAATGCAGGAAATTAGAAATGAAATTCATAATCCAAACCATAAACCATACAGACATGGAAAAGGCACTGTATCACTTTCTCTATATTATGGGGAAAGTTTTTTACTTGATTACCTCTTTAGGGTAAGCTTCATCAGTTGTACCTAGCACAGGAAATATGAGTCTGACACCCAAAGGTGTGGCAGCTTTACCACAGAGACTACTTTGTCCTATGACAGCCAGACCACCACCTCTATTGCTATGCAAGAGGTGCTCTCATACACTGGCAAAGAGAATTACTAAAATAACTATTCACCTCTTTAGACCTATGGCTTCACACAGCTCTGTCTTGTTCGAAGTATTGCTGACTAGCGGCACCAGCTGAGGTATTGCTTGCTTTTGGAGTACATCACTCTCGGTTTAAAAACAAGAGTAGCAAAAAGTAAATGGAGTGTAAGTTGTTTTTTGTTTTTATTTCTTCTAGTACCATTTCCACTAACTCCTTGGACAAATCCCTGCAGCAGCTAGAATGCTATTTCACATGGGCTTTGGAGGAGGAGGATGTGGATCTCGAAGACCTAGAGTACACAACAGGTAATCAGACCGAGTTTTTAAACACGAACAGCATTGCAAGTTATAATCTACTAGCCTATATATGCCACCTTAAGAATTCAAATGAGGAAGCCCTGAGAAATCTCCAAAAAGCTGAAGAAGAAATTAAGAAAAAATATCCCGATGAAATGGACAGGAGAAGTCTTGTTACCTGGGGCACCTATGCCTGGATCTATTACCACATGGGGAGATATGAAGAAGCTCAAACTTATGTAACCAAAGTGGAAAACAGCTGCAAAAACCTTCCAAGTACTGCCGAATGGAAGATTCATCTTCCGGAGATCCATGCTGAGAAAGGATGGGCATTATTAAAGTTTGGGAAAAAGTACTACGAGAGAGCCAAGACGAGCTTTGAAAAAGCTCTGCAGCATGAACCCAACAACCCGGAGTTCAATGCGGGCTATGCCGTCGCGGCGTATCGCCTGGAAGATTTTACCCAGCGGCGCTCTGAAGACGCAAGCCTGTCCCTCGGCCTCCTGAAGCGTGCGGTGGAACTGAACCCAGAGGATACTTTCGTCATGGTGGTACTTGCAATAAAGCTTCAGGACATAGAGCGGGACGATGAAGGGGAAAGATACATTGAAGAAGCAATGCAGAAAACCCCTTCTCTTCCTTACGTCCTGCGATATGCTGCCAAATTTTACAGAAAGAAAGGAGAAGTGGACAAGGCACTGGAGATTTTGGAAAAGGCCCTGACAATGATGCCGAAATCTGTCTTTTTGCAACACCAGCTGGGACTCTGCTACAGAGCAAAGCTGATTCAGTTGAAAAAGACCACAAGGTATCCCCCTCAAGAGCAAATGGATGAACTCATCCAACATGCCATTTTTTATTTTAAAACAGTGATTGAACAAAAGACAAAATTTTTTTCTGCCCATGTCGACCTAGCAGGCATGTATGCAGAAGCAAAGATGTATGATGAAGCAGAAGAGACATTTCAGAAACTATCATCTCAGATAAATATTCTGTCTGATGATGATAAACAGCAATTCTTCTACTGTTATGGCAATTTTCAGCGTTTTTGTATGAAATCGGATTCTAAAGCCATTAGGTATTACATAGAAGGGCTGAAAATTAACAAAGATCCTTATATCTTTGAAAGGTGCGGGAATGCTCTGAAGACATTGTTAGAAAGGAGAATTCGTAGAGGTTCAGGAGATGCAACGGATTTTGGTACACTTGGATTCGTTCATAATCTAAATGGTGAGAAACGTGAAGCAATAGAGTGCTATGAGCAAGCGGTTGCGTTGTGTCCTGACAATGAAGAATATCTAAGTGCATTATGTGAGCTGCGACTTTCCATCTCAAGCTAAAGCTCCCAAAAAAACCACAACAACCCAAACCCAAGGACATTTCAGCAGAAAACTTGTATTATTATTATTATTATTTTTAAGGTTGAAGTAACAATCAAGTGAAGCATCTGGTGGCATTACTTTCTGGTGATGCTACAGAAACTGCAGATGATGGTTGTTAATTTGTTTGTTCATTCACCAAGAGCGTGATTGGAAAGACTAAATAAAAAGCTAAGCTGTCTCAATATTCAATGCTAATGCTTGTATAATGTTTTTGTTTAAGTGATCTGTAAGTCACAGAGCTTCTGAGGTGGAAATCAGATCTTACCTTCTATTGAGAAAAAGATAAGGGAATCATATTGTTGTATTTCATCTGCCCACTTGAAGGGCATAGAGAATTCCTGATGCTTTTAAAAATAATTTAGAATTTTTTTTTCTTGGTGTTATTTGGAAGAATTTTTTGTTGAAGACTTTGTTTTTTACTACCTTGTATGTTGTTTAACTATGAAAACTAACCACTGTTTGGCTAGCACACCATAAAGCTTACAAAACATGTATTATTGTTGTGAACTATTAAAGGTCATTGCATCCATCAACTGTTCCTTCTGGTATCTCTCTGCTGGCCAATTCTTGTGTTAGTAGAGGAAAGAAAGCAAAATGGCCACTCAGAAAAGGAATAGGGATAAAGTTTTGGCAGGATATGAAAGCATCAGGAGATGATAGCTCCGTTTATTTTCCCAAATGCTCAGCAAGTCTGGCTTCAGAGGTGTTGCACCAAAGAATTAAACTGTGCACAACACAGTATCTGTCTAGTTTGCCCCAAACCACACTCTCAGGAACTGCTACTGCGGACATCTGGAGAGGAAGGAATGGCAGTCTTTGAGACTTGGACAAAGAGATGGCTGTCTGCAGCCATGGCTGTGAAAGAAGCCAGGGATCAAAAACACGCACAAGAAACATGCTGGACATGGAGGGCAGAGTATGGCTAGAGAGGAGAGTTGCATGAGCACCAGAAAACAAGGCAGCAGAGTGCAAGGGGCATGTGGAAAAAGGGGTGGGTGCACACAGAGTCTACAAGAATGGAAGAAAGGGCTGAAAGGACAGAAAGAATGTGTGAAGGAGGTGATTTTCTTCAGTTAGCCAGCTAAAAATCAGTATTTACAATAGGCTGGGCTACTTTCGTGGCATTGTACTTTGGTATAATAGATCATGGTGCTCAAGGAAAACTAATGCTGTACTTCTAAAACACTTCTGAGCCCCAGCCAGTAGTGTAGAATGAAGCTGGAGACAGAGCCCATCAGAAAGGACATGCACTTTTGTTTCCAGCTATCCTATGTTGTGAGGATTCCTGCCTCACAACAGCAGTCCCATCCATGTACAGATAGGATGACGGGTCTGAAGAAGTGTGAACTATGATGCCAGATCATGAAACATCAAGAAACCTCTCCCCTCTGAGTTGTCCCTCAAACAATCTTTCGTAATACAAGCAAAAGTGATCAGGAGCTTAACAGCATACATTTATGCAACCATACCTTCTTCCTAAGAATGGATTGCATCAAAATACATTCTTATTTTTCAAGATGTTTTTTCAAGTGCAAAATACATTCTTGTCTGAAGCAGCCACTTGCCAGCTTCTCTCTTACAAGCAAAGGTGACCCTATATAGGGGAGGAGCAGGGTGGGAGGACAACAGGAAGGACCGGCAGCAGGGCTGACACACCACTCCTGAAACCTGGTAGGAACAACAGTAGGGTTGAAGTCAGGAACTGGTGGCTACCTATGGTGTTGTGCTCAGCTGTTTGGGCAAAAGGGTACGTTAGGTGACTTCACTGCACTTCTCAGTCTTGAGGCCTCAGCATTGTTGCCATCCAAACCCTCCTGAGGGTATGGAGGGCAGCAGGGAAGATTTGAGAAAGATGAGGTGCACGTTCCCGAAGCCATGGTGCCACATCCGTGCTCCCCTCCACACCCTGCCTCCAGGGCTTCTCCTCCCTCTCTCATGGAAAACAAACCATGCCAAGTAAGGAGAAACAATGAAAGCATTTTGAGAAAACTGTGAGCCTGAATTTTTATGAATGTTCTCCACAGCAAAAGAATTGACTATGAGGCATAGTGATGCAAGAAGCCTATTTATTGTGCCTTACCTTATAGTAGGAGTCTACTATAGACCACCAAAC